TTTCAGTTTTGACACATGTCACTCAAAACACACTTGTACACACGCTCACTCTCACACACACACACACACGCACATACATATGTAAACGCACACGCATAGTCGGTTGGTAGGTGTTATTGTTGAGTCTCTCTAACAAATGACTTGGCCCCGGCGTTTATTATTATCCCAACGGGCTTAAGGCCTCACCTCCTGTCATACACACACACACACACAAACACACGCGTATACGTATGCAGAGATGCCAGCTAATAAATAATAAACGCTTCTCATACAACCTGTACAAACGAGGCTTTCCAGCAAATGCGAACACCCGACCACATCCCAGACTCACGGCCCACTCACTCACTCACTCACACTTGGAGACTTGCCTTGTAGGCAACCCTTTTGCGCTCAGTGCAAGTGTGTGAGCGTGTGTGAGTGTGTGTGCTGAAGCCGCCGTCGTTGGCTACGCTGCGCGACTCTGAGGTTGAGGTTGACAAATGTGTCAGAATGCAAATCCGCAACAATTAAAAGAAAAATCAACACACAAAAGCTGCCAGAAGAGCCATCAACAGCCGACAGCTTTTGTCGCTTGTCATCGCAGTTCTGCCCATTAATGTTCATACATATACATGTATATCTATGTGTGTGTGAGTGCCCCACCTGCTACTGCCTTTGCGTTAACAGCGCGACGAGTCGTTTACTTTTTACTGCCTCTTAAATTATTTGCACAAAATCTCAACGGCAAGGATTCTTTCTGCTTTTGTTTCTGCCTTGAGTGCAACACCAGTCAACAATTTGTAGTTGCTGTTGTTGGTGTTGTTGTTGTTGCTCTTCTAGTTGCTGTTGTTGTTGCCATTGTTGTTGCTGTTGCTGTTGTTGTTGTTTTTCTGATCATAATTGTTCTCGCCCATAGCCCTGGCCATTCTTTTTGGGGTGTTTCTTCGCGGTTGTCACGCGACCCATCTAAAGGAAATAACAAAAAAAAAAAAAAAAAAAAACAACACTCATTTCACTCCCACTCGAGCCGCCTTTCATTTGTTTGTTTGGTTCTTCGTATTTGGGTTATGTTTTAATTGGCCCACCTCGAGACGTTTGTAAC